GGGCCAATGAGGAAGCAGCCGGAGCCGCGGAGGGAAACGGCGGGCGTTTGATTTGCAGCCCTCAGCGCGCTGCGTGCACAAACAAATGCGAGAAGACAGGCGGCACAGCTCCGCGTTTTCCAGTATGCAGGGCGGAGAGGAACTGGTGCCGTGCGGTGCTGCCTGCGCTTTCTGATCACTGGTATAGAGCAAACAGCATCCAGCCTATTCTGTGTGATCCCACTGCACTTCTGGCTGTATCGTTATTTTGCTGTGACAGCGGTGATGTGATAGTTTTATTGATGCTCCTTTGGGGAAATCCGCTTTTTTTCACTTGCCCCACAGCATGTTTCCTGCTAAATAAATCCTTATTAGCAGAATCTGTTTGCAATGCAAGACAATTTACACACATATGCACAACACCATTAAGATAAGAGAAGTTTAGGAACTGGAACTGCGTCCACTGGGATGCAGGAAGTATCTCATCGAATTTAGTGCACCTCTTTGTCCATAAAGTCAAACCCTGCTCTGACTATGCAGGTTATGCCCTCAACTTGAGGACGTATTTCTTCTGTATTAGCTCTTTAAATTCATAAATATGCCATAGGGCCTATATATATATAAAAGCTATCTGCTTTTAGACATGCGCACCGATATATTAATTCACGGAAAGGGCTTTATTATTTTGGGGGAGGGTTGAATTTAAACTGCCCACTGTATTCACTGTATTGAGTATTTTCTATTTCATGGCTGTATGTTTACCCCCCCTCTCTTTCTCTCTTTCACTCACATACACACACGCACACACACATGTACGGGCAAATTGAATCACAACGTAATATGAAAGCATTACTATCCTCGGGGTTAGCCTTGCGCACGGTTCAGTAATTTAGCCAATTAAAAGTGGAAGGATATGAGCATGTGTGTTTCCATGTCCAAATGTATGAGCCGCTATAGGCTAATATTCCGGTCCAGGTTTGTTTACCCGCGCAGGCAAAGGGTTAAAACTCGTGGCTTTGGCCCTACGAGGCTCCTGATTGGCTGGCACTTTGCCAGCGTGCTGTCAATCACCGAGTGTAAACAAGGCTCTGATTGGCTGCTAGCCAGTCCGCACTGGGCTGCCTGAAAAAAGCAATTACTGCCCCTGCGGTTTCAAGGCGGCCCGCGCTGAACGATGAAAGGAGATAAGGAGGGGCGGTTTCAAGGCGCCCCCCACGGCGAACCCCGTTGGCCCCAGAGCAAAAGGAGAGTCAAGAGTGACTAAGTCAAAGGGAATACGGTAAAAGGCTGGAAATTACACGTTATATTAGATGCAGCGACTAGATTGTTGGATTGCTGCAATAACAACTTGGTGTTTAGAAAATGGAGGAGAGAACGTCAACAACAACCGGAAAAGAGCTATTGCGCTGCTGCGAGGGAGCTGCTTGTTTCACATAGGGAGAAAAGTTTTGTTGACACAGGACACGGTGGACAGAGAGCGATAGGTCCGTGAGGAACCAAAATTATCTCGCCCAAACGTTAAAACACTGACAATTTTATGCTGGCAGAACTCGGTTGCTGGTGTGCTGCCCTTAAAACCTTTTATTGGCAGCTTTAACGGTCAGTTGTAATAATACATTAGGTTACTAACTGTTTTTGAGATAGGAAATACAAGGCATAGACCTTTATTTTGAAAATAAAATGAAAACCTGAAAAAAAATATAAAAACACACATATTGCAGTATTTGCAGTTGTCATTAGGCTACTTCATTAATTCTTACATTTTCATGTTTAAGCCAACAAAGCAGCAAAAATTCAGTCATGGCGGCCTGAACGAAACGCAGCCCGTAGTTTTAAGATGAACGTGCCCAGAACTGACAACAGTGAACATGCATGTCATAAGGTATCCCAGACTGTTCTAGTTGATGTCCCTTTACATTAAAACAGAGACCCACTCCCTTGCTTTGGTTCAGCCACAAACAAAACACACTGGACAAAGGAAACCCAGGCTGCACACGGTTATAAATTGTCCGCATGGAACAAACAGACTTTCATCTATACAGAGGAATTAAGTGATACATATATAATTCAAATGAAATAACGCCAAAGCGAGCAGATTTATCGCGTCTGTAATTAGATAATCATTACCCTCTTTTTCCATTTACATAGCAGCGTGCATTCCAGAGCCCTGCGCTCTCCAATGGGCTGCATCCACCACGTGTCTCTCTCTCTCTCTCTCACACACACACACACACACACACAGAGCTGTATGCAAAAGCTTCATATATCCTGCAGACTTCAATATTATATTTTGCTATATGATGATGGATGGACAGTAGAACTAATTTCTACATGGGGTAAAAATAAAAAACCAAAAGCAGTAGGCCTGGGCTGTAGCCTTTAATTGTGAAGCCTCAATAAGAACACATTTAACTTTGTAACTTTTTAAAGCTGTATCTCAAAGGTGAATGATAGAGTCCAAATATAGTAAATTACTTTATCAAGTTTGCAGTCATATTACAATTTCACAGTTCTATAATAGCCCCAAAATTGTTCACACATCTGTGCAAAGAAATATTTTTGTTGTGATTTTCTGTCATATATTACAGTAAAATGAAAATATTATGAAAATGCGTAGCCAACATACCTCTATCATATATATATTTACATTTAATTTAATATATATAATACATTTTTTGTGTGTGTGCATGCATTTAATTTATTTAATGACAAGGAAAAGCCTTTTATAGCTTGATTTTTATTGGTTCTTTTTTTCACTTAAAACGTGGGGGTTGGTTGTGTGTGTGTAGAGAGAGAGAGAAAGCATAACACACGCAACCTGGTCCGTGTGCCAGCGCCAGCTACCCTATACGGTGGGGGTGGGGTGGGGGTAATTAATGCGGATTGACTGATTGCTCTTGAAACAGACCGGGCCTGCATGGGGATTGTCCTCAAGCAATGAAGCGTTCCTGACTGACACTTCCCACCTTCCTTTCTTCGCTTCCTTCTTCCCTTGCTTCTCTCCCCCTTTCTGCCCCCACACTAGAACGGTGTGTGAGATTCTTCTTCCGCGGCGAGGAGCCATACATCCCGGCCGCTTTTCTGTCGTCCAGCTGAGGCAGTTTCTGCTCTGTACCCGCCTATAAACATCTAAGTAAAGCATGCAAACTGCATAAAGCTCCTACAGGCTGCACAAGACGAGATTTTTGTGCGGCCTACAGTTAAAGTGTTGCAACTTTACCTTATGAGGAGTTACGTCTCCATAAAAAAGAGGGCTTGACATATTTTCTGCACATTAAAAACTGAACAAAGTTGGTGTAAAGTGCGTGTCACACCCTCCACTGATTATAGGACTACGATTAAAAAAACAACAGCCACAGTCAAAGGAAACACATTTGCCAGACTGGTTTTAAATGAGGTCCGAACGGAGAGCTGGCTCTACGGGAGGCCCACCATGCAGGGCAACTATCCCATTCTCATCAGATATTTCTGATAGGGCTTTAATGAGAGAATTTCCAAACAGGACCGTTCACCAGGGAGACGCCCAAGCTGTCTAAAGGTAGTGCAACCCCATGAAACAAAAGATCCATATTAGACTAGGAAAGCATGCGAATATGTAGCGCTGCCAAGCTCCTGGGCTATGAAACACAAGACTGTTTTGTGCGCTCTGGGCGCGTAGCAGCGCTGATGTGGGTACATCGTTCACAACACAACGCAAATATCAACCTCAACAAACAGCAACGCCACCCATAAACGCATATAAGAAGAAGACATGATGAAGTCAGAAGTTGACTGGACACAAAAACAACATGACCTTTTCTTCCGCGTGTGAGCAGGACAGACGCTGCTACTGCAGATCAACCTGACAGATAGGCTGGAGAGCTCACGGCTCCCAACGGGTCAGGAAATGGTTGGCATGAAAAATAAAATAAGTAAAATGCTTTACTCCTCCATCAAACTTAAAGGACGAATTACAAATTTGCTGTGCCATGTATGACTAAAGGCACATGTCATAAGACACCTTTAGATCAAGAGGATGATGGTGCAGTAGAAGAAGATGATGATGGCGGTGATGATGGTGACGGAGGGAATAGCTTGGGCACCAAATTAGCGCCTGTCAAACAGCCATATATCGGGCTGTAACCACCACCAGGCCTGTATGGATGAGATGAAGGCGCCAGCATCTATTTATGGGCCATCAAAAAACGCAGGTGGAGGCTTTAATTAACGTCACCGTTTGAACACAAACAGCCATAGCGTGCTGTCCCGCGTGGGTTTGCTCTGTAAGCTTGTGTGTAACTTTAAACAACACGGAGAATTCAGTCTTTACAAATATTTAGAAGTTGGCATTAAACGCAAATAATATGTTTGCATGTGACGAGCTCAGCCTGCAATGCCTCCTGTTCTGACTAAATTCATACATAGGCTACACATTTTCAAAGGAGGCTGAATAGGACAGACATATTTGTGCTTTCTAATTGTTCCAAGCATTGCACGATCATACATAATACGATGTTACAATGGGAAATCTCTAAACACAAAGCGCCCAAAGATGTGAAAAAGTGTTTGTGCAATAGTATAATACCGAGTGTCTCTATGTATGGGTCGTGGGGTCAACAGGTCACCTGACCTCCTGCAAGTCCTCACTTAAAAGTTCTAGTAATGCAATGGATTCATGCATGACTCACAACTTTAGAATAACCCATAACGTGCTTCAGTCACACATCAGCAAGGGACTCATAGGAATAAAAAAACAAGATTTTCAAAAAACCTCCATCACGTTCGTCCTTTTTGAAGACCGTTGCTCAACGTTTGTCATATTGTTGATTAAAGATTA